AAAGATGGCATGCGGATCTTATTCAAGAAAGCTTTTTCATCTCGCTTATTATTATTCTTCATAATCTTGACATCCTGGTACTTGCGAACATTTTCTATAGCTTGCCATATACTGATACATTCATAAGTTTAAAAAAGTCACTTAAGAATATATTTCCAGCTTTTTTGGCCTCATTACATTTCTCAGTATTAAAAGATATTTATGATTCAAACCAATTAGTCTGATTGAAGGAGAGTATCTCTGAAACGTTATCTATAACCATATCTAATTTTACATAATATTAGAGCTCTTGGTAATGGATAATATAGTTCTTTCGTGATCCAAGATAAGGGACTAATTTTTCTGTAGCAGAGAAGCGTCTACTATCTAATTGTTCTACAAGTTTAGCATTATAAAAATATAACTAATTCTTTTCTACAATGACATTTTTCACGACTAAAGATAAGTCTGATAAATAGTCATGGGTTTTTAAGGGAAAATAGGAATTAACTTTTAAGAAATGCCCTCGTTTAGCATCGGATTGTGTATTGAGAATCTTTTCAAAATATTTCTTCTACATAGCTGGATTTTTAGTAAATATTTCTGACTAACTTCCTATTGATAATTTCTGATAGGCAAATATTGGCTTATAGAATGTCCATAAAGATTTGTTGCATTTACATATGAGATCGAAGATGTGGGTTTTGATAGATTAAATTCCTTCTCTATCTTAGGATTATTGGCTTTAAAATATCGTTGACAAGCTATAGATATACCATCACATTTAGCTTTTTTGATAAAATCATGCATAGCTATATCTGTGAAAAGTTCAATCCTAACTCCTGACATCTTAAGCATTCCATCCCAGAATAATGATGGGCAGAAACATAGTGACTGGGATCAAGTTTATAATATTCCATAGACATTTTTCTAAACTCTGTTCAGACATCTACTAGACTAAGTACATCAGTTAAGATAGAGATCATGGTATTCACCTAGATTTTTACATTTGAATTCCTTCCATACTTTCTGTGCGTGTTTATAGTCATCTTGTAAGATCTTACCTTTAAGAATACTATAAAATTCATAAATGGAAGGAAGTTCTGTCTCCTGAAACCTATTATGAGAATCAATATAGTCATAGGAATAAACTCCTTTGTGATATACTAATGCTAATTGCTCTTTTGTATAACTTAATTTTTTAAAATATTGGCTTGTTATTGGGTGGTTATCACCCAAATTTTTTGTAAAACTGGTTAAGCTACTATTTATGAATTGCATTCTATCTATATATTTGAGTTGACCTACCTTCATAGACTTATATCGCTCAAATGTTTCGGCTATAACTTAAATATGAAGAGCATTAGCTGATCACCTGACAGACTCACAAAACAAGTGAGAGTTATAGTCTCAAAAGTTGTCAAATATAACTGGAATTGGGGTCTTTCAATCCTGTATTTGAAGTTTGAGATTACAATCCCAATGGGCTGATTCACAAAACTTACCTGTAATATGACAATGATTCCAGACCTTATTGACTTTAGCTTCTTCACTAACAATTGCCTTAGTCGCTTTATTAATGGTTATTTCGATGCCATTATATTCAGCTGAATCCTTTTTAAACTTTTCTAGCTTCTCTTTAAGATTGGTTATTTTGTTTTCTAAGCGCTGTTAGTGATAGTCTAGTTATGACGCATTAGTACTGCGCCAATTACAATTAGCGAATGATGATCCCGTTGATCAT